TAGGATGGTGGCTAGACGATCTTGCACCAGCTTCACAAGGGTTCACAAGTTTTACCAGGGTGAGATTTGTAAACCGGAACTAGGGAAGCAATGGTAGTACAAAATGCCCCCCGTCGACAAACAGCGTCTTTAAAGACTATTATTCTCTCCCCCGCTTGAAGTTGAAGCTGACGATTACATAGGGCAACTCGAGGAGAATATTCTGACTTCATGTCGTCGCCCGTACCATCTTGGAAACTTTGTACTGCTACAGGATTGGGTGCCACCACACGGAATCGAAGGGCGTTGGAAAAACTCTCGCCTACTTGGAATGGAAGGGCGTTGAGTACCTGAAGAAGATGGAATATCTAAGTGTGTCACCTGACCTAAACCCCCTCGATTACCCGGTCCGAGCGGAGCTCAACAGGGTGGTCTACAGTGGCGGAGAAATCAATGACCTCGCTGAACTCACAGTCGCGTGGCAGAATCTCTCGTTATAGCGCCTTGAAAGTCGAGTAAGAAAAGTGTCCTTTTTTATTGGCCCCCTGTATACACGCGGTGCACATGATAGATAACTTTTTGGTCCCTTTGCATCAAACAGTTCACAAATAATAAGTCTCTGTTTTGCGCTAAGTATCGCGTTCAGAATTACTATGTTGTTTGATCAGGAAATGAACGGGAAACAACAACAGCCATTCATCGATCACCCATTGTTTCGCCACTCTTACTTTGTGCGCTTGCAAACTAACTAAAGCCAGTTTCCTCTTTAGGATAAAAGCGTAACGTCCAAAACCAGAAGTATTCATCTCTGGGAAGGGATGCAATTGAGTGACAGGTAGTGGGTGCGAGCGATGTGGTGGCGAATGAGGAGACTCTGTGCTGCTGCTCATCCTTGTTATTCGCTTACCACCTTCTCATTGTTAGACCTCAAAACCATTGCGGTAAAAGAAATAGAGAAGAAAAGTTACCATATTCATCCCAAACACCTCACCACGAAAAGAAAGAGTCATGGCATTTTCACTTCTCTCGCACGCTCCTACACTCCCAAAGCTCAGATTCGCGGGAGGGCGTGGCTACATACTTTATTTGAACGAGGCAAAGTTGAACACGGTTCTGGCAATGTGCCCTTCCTGAGGTGTCTGTGCAAGCTGATGAGGAATTCACCTCGCAAACTATGATGGCACAGAGAATGTATGTAAGAGACCCGGCTCTACATACTTACCCTCTACTGCGCGGCGCTGAGAAATTCAGCTCTAATCCGGGTTGAAATCTTTGCTGAGCGGTTTGGAAAGCCAAAACTTCGTCTTCGGGATAGTCTCATCCCTGCAGACCATCACTACTTGAAGCGAAAATGTTTAGCGCCACGCGTCACAGGTGCTGGTGTCACTTCAGTTTTTGCGCCAGCTCCCGCAAAATTCACCAAGCTGGCGAAAAGCAAATGTGACATTCATAGTCACTGGTCTATACCACTCCTTGGGAGAGTTTCCCAACAAATTTGGTATTTTGAGGTATTTTGGTGCGAATGCCAGGCGGTTCCGCGTCATTTGTTAAATTCATGTTCACTGTGCCAAAGTACCTCGTGGGGAGGAATATTTGATTAGACCTTCTCCTGGAAAATTTCAGTTAAATATCTGTATTTCAAGCGGTCGGGCCACAAAGCATTACTAGTGCCAGTGATTATTACATAGCCTGATCCACCAAAAGACAATCTCTGAAGAGCATAGTTGACTATAGTGTAAGTAGGAGGAAACAGAGTTACGTTTTGGAAATCCAGAGTACATATAGAGTATACAGAGCCTTTGGTTCTTGAAATATGCTGCTTGAAACTTGCAAAAATTAATAAAAATCATTGTCTTATTATCAGATTACCATATATGCCGCCCTGATGGTAATCGTTGGACGATACGAGGTCGAAAAGGAAATGAATGAGAAGCCAGCGATCTGTGAACAAATCCCTTCCGAGAAAAGCTCAGCGAGCTCAGTTCAAGAATTCACAGTTGGATCGAGGTATCCGCAGCCTTATCCACTTCTGCTACACAGGAATCATTTCACTATTTAAGGATCCTTGAGGGGTACTGTGACTTGATCTCAAATAAAATCTTCTCTTCGCTGGTCATTGCAGCTCTGGCCGTTTATTGGTACGGTAATCTACTTTGATACTATTGATACTTACCTCAAGAATGCTGGGTTATCGGCAAAAATCTTGATCCAAGACAGGCTCAGACCGTGCTCCGTGCTCATACCTGTGGACGACACAATCCACAGGTATGAGCCACGGACCGACAATCATTACGCTACTAGGGCCGCGTGCTACCCTCAGAGTCCGCCTGGGATCAAAACTGTCACCTTCACTCAAACTCAGCATTCTTGCGATAACCCTCAGAACGCGAGCTGCGGCTTCAGTCAACAGTTTTATTTTAAAAGAGTAATTTGGTATCGTCGCAATCAGTCGAAAGGCATGTGATGGGCGTAGTCTACCAGTGGTGCTTTTCTTCGTGAATCGATCACTATTAGAACAGCGAAATGCAACCAGGGCGGGCTCTGTCCACCTCTCCTGACACTGCCCCTACTGAATGTGGCGACATCAGCTAAATTGCTCATTAATCCCCAACAAAGTTGGATGTTGTAGGTATGTCTCTATTGTTGGAGCTGTCAATATTCAAAGCAGAACTCACACCAGATAAACTCTTCCTGGCTAATTCGGATTTGATGAAGGTTCGTACACTCAATCAGCCACAAAACCAGGATTCTCTATGGTCTGAAATTTTAGATATTTGAATTACGGAAACGGCTACATTACAACCTACTACAATGCATGTTGGGTTCTTGTCAAGAACCCCGGTGACGTTTTGAATGCAACGAATTCAGCACGAATACATCATCTGGTACAATTCCTCAGATATTTCTATTGTGTTTTGTTTCAGTGCATTTATCCTAATAATTTCACAAAACTTAAATCCAAATCCAAACACGGCATGATAACACTGCCGTGGTCCAAACCTCACCTCTATCACGCTGTCTCTACCCGCAATGTGTGGGACGTTACATTCACGTTGCGGCGAGGACGTCAAAAGAGGCGTTGCAGATAACCTTACGTGCACAGCGTTCACCCTGGACCCAATTAATTCGACGTGGAACCGCTGCACCATGTCGAGTCGACTGGTTGCGGTACGAACAGTCCACTACTTGCGTTGTTGTTGTAACCTCGCTCATCCCTCTGAAGCCCTGTTGTAGCCCTTCATAGAGGAGCCTTCTTTCAGGTACCAATAACATAGTTTCGTGGAGGGGTGTTTGGAAAATTTCCTTTCTACGGGAGTTGAAGACACAAATTGAAGAAGTAGAATGATAGAAGTATATGAAATGTGTCTTTCGCGAGAAATAGCTCAATGCGATTACACTGGGCTCAACTGTGAGCTTGCTCGGACGTCCGCTGCGCTGTTTTAGCACAAATTAGCTCCACTGTAGCCATCTGCCGGGAGCACTTCGTGCGATACCGTTCGAACTTCGTTGAAATGATCCTTTAGAACCTCCTGCTATGGGAGAGCGAATACGAAATGAAAGTTCCAAACCAAGACATGTAGCATACCCACTTTGAAATGCCGAGACACGTTACGCGCGCACAGTATTATACAGTCGTTTTCCCTGCAGACGCTAGGGCGTGTCAGGCGGACTGTTTGGCACTGCGCCAGCCCATTCTCCACGAATCGTTGAAGCGGACAAGCGAGAACAGTTAGTGGAAAACGGGCTGCCCATCGCGCCAAACCCAGTTCTCTGGCACATCCCAGCGTCTGCAGCGATAATGATTATATGTATTTCGTAACTATTAGGTTGTCCGGAAAGTTCTCAGCGTTTTGAGTGTTTCACTTTAAACGATCATAACTTTCTTAATACTCATCGGATTTAATCGAAATAAGCACCGTTCGAATCAGCACACTTTTGCCAATGTGACACCAGTCGATAAATCCCAAGAAAAAACTGGGTGGTCGAGAATCCACGAAGGCTTTTTTGCCTGGTCCTGATTGATGAAGTATTTTCCAGCAAGGAAGTTCTGAAAATGTTTGAAAAGGTGATAGTCGGTTGGTGAAAGGTCTGGAGAATATGGCGGGTGAGGTAGAACTTCAACCCCAATTCGTTCAATTTATGGATAGTGATTTGTGAAACGTGTGGGCGGGCGTTGTCATGCAAAAGAATCGGACCCCACACTCTCCGGAACGTCTCCTGTTATCATACATGATCCACTTTTTATCACAGGTGACAATTTGGTCCAAAAACGCAAAAGCAGTGAAGAAGAAACCTCGAGACGTGCCAATTTCTGCCGGTCACTCAAATTGTGGGGCACCCACTTGTCGAGTTTTTTCACCTTCCCAATGCGTTTCAGACCATCCGCAACAGTGGATTTGCCAACGCCTAGCTTTTCTGCAATCTCGTAGCCTTTCTGCAATCTCTCGAACTGTTTGGGATGGGTCAGCCTCCAAAATCCCCTTCAAATCCTCGTCAGGTCGACCGCTACGAGGTTCATCTTCAAGGCTGAAATCTCCAGAACGAAATTTGTCGAACCATTGTCGCACGGTGCTTTCTCCAACACTATTGGGCCCCCACACCTGGTTAATTTGTCGAGCTGTCTCGACTGCGGATTGACCCAATTTTTAGTTGAAGAAAAATATCGTCCGAAGTTGCTCTTTTGACATGCTTCAAAAAGTCTTGGGAAAGGGGGTTTATCAAGCAATGGTGAAACGGCAATTATACCATCAGATAGCGCAAAAAATTCTCTTCAGGATGTACTACTGAGACGCAAGGGAGAATGAGTTTTTAATCAGCAATGAATGTACAAAAAGTAGTAACATAAAACGCGGAGAACCGCGAGTGCCGCAAGTCGAAAGTTCCAAGAATGAAGTCCTAAATTTCTGAATTTCTAAATTTCCCGACTCTTAGTGAATAATCTAAGTTTACTTGCGTTCGATTTCGTCCCACCACGCGCTATACTTTCGTCGTAGGCATTTCATGACACTAGAATCAGAAATTTGGTCAAAAATACCTTCCAGGTCGAGGATTTTGAAAGTTTGCCGAACTCAGTGGGTTCATACTCGACCAAATTCTGGTTGAGAGATTACGAAGATTTTCGCAAACAAGGAGAGGAACTCGACCATTCTGATGAGTTCGAAGATATCATGGTCGGTACGGCCGTGGAATTCTCGCAAAACGGAAGGTTTGTGCAGGAACTTGATCTTACTCTAACATTCGTCCACCTTTCACCGGTATGTGGAAATCCACTCTTTCCTTTTAAGCTCCGTGTTCCCATCTGTAGTCATACCAGAAGGGAACGAATTGAAGCAGTTCCTTGAGTGGCCTGAATTTTCATTCTGGAAAGGATTTCTGCAAGTGGAACCGGGCAAAAACAGGTAAGTGATTTTTACATTACGTGCTATCTGACCCTGAGAAAACGTTATGGTCGACCAATACTCCTTGTGGTTGGTTGTTTTATGTCACCACAAGCTCACCTCGAAACCATTCCCTTTGCGGTATGGCACCAGCCCCTTTCCAACGGGAAACGGTCTTTAGGACCACGCGACATCGCGTGCGGTGTATTCTGCAAACACCGCGGGCTTTCAATTGAGCCCTCGTCCTGATAGCACTGCGTTCTTGATCAGAATTGACTAGAATGTGATCGTTTCAGTTTTCAGCCACGCTCTTCACTCTGGTACGACTTGGATAATCATGACCGTTAGATTTTGTTCCATTTGCGTAAATATAGCGATTACCCCATGCGATATTTGCAATCGTCCGCGCAGACACCGCGTGATCCTACCGTCACATATCTTTTAAACCACTCATTAGCACGTCCGAAGCGCAACAATATAGGCTGCGTTTATACTTTGCGGCAGCGTAGCGTAGCGCTTCCAGCGTACGCCAGCGGCAGTGCCGAAGAGAGGATGCATATCGATCTAGCTTCACCAGCGTCACCAGCGGCACGCTAGCGTACGCCAGCGTTTCTCCAGCGTTTCACCAGCGTTTTGCTAGCGTTTGCAGCGGCAGGGGAGTAGAGACTATGGGAGAGCTGGAGGGTACAAAACACATCGATTGCGCGTCTCTCACTCGCCCTTAGTCTCTACAATGCACATCGCTTCTGCGTCTCCGACGGCCACATAGTCTCTACAATGCACATCGCTTCTGCGTCTCCGACGGCCACATGGTCTCTACAATACACGTCGATTCCGCGTCTCTCACGGCCACATAGTCTCTACTCCCCTGCCGCTGCAAGCGCTAGCAAAACGCTGGTGAAACGCTGGAGAAACGCTGGCGTACGCTAGCGTACGCCAGCGTGCCGCTGGTGACGCTGGTGAAGCTAGATCGATATGCATCCTCTCTTCGGCACTGCCGCTGGCGTACGCTGGAAGCGCTACGCTACGCTGCCGCAAAGTATAAACGCAGCCTGAGAAACAGGCGCTGGTGCCGCGCCAACGCCCATGCCCGCTGACACGCTCCGACCAACTTCAGTGATAACGACTGATCGACCCTACCATATATAATCCGCTGTGTTTGTGTGTGTGTGTGTGTGTGTGTGTGTGTGTGTGTGTGTGTGTGTGTGTGTGTGTGTGTGTGTGTGTGTGTGTGTGTGTGTGTGTGTGTGTGTGTGTGTGTCACGAAATTCATAACACCTGTCCCAGTAGCAGAGAAACGTTGATTCCAGGAAGTGATGGAGGGGGTGTGACGGGAACACCATTGGTGGGTGACAGGATGTGATATCAGTTGATAAGATTCGATAAGAGGCGTCCAAAGGGGATGGTCACCCAGTCCATAGTGCGGGCCACAGCAGCAGTGGGACGTTGGTTCCGAGCAGTGAAATAGGGGGTGGGACGAAAACATTATTGGTAGGTGACAGGATGTGATATCAGCTGATAAGATCTGATAATGGGCATTAGAAGGGAAGGACTACCAAATTCATAGTGCGGCTCACAGGAACAGTGGGTCCTTGGATCCGAGAGGTGATATAGGGTGTGGGACGGGAACATTATTGGCGGGTGACAGAAAGTGATAACAGTTGATAAGATCCGATAAGGGGCCTCGGAAGGGGAGGGTCATCAATTCGTAACGCAGGTTACAGCAACAGTGGGACCTCGGATCCGATATAGGGTGATATGATAGTGATACGGGACGGGAATATTATTGGCGGGTACGGAAGTGATAGGAGCTAAAATTGACAAGGTAGCATGGGAAAATCCGCTTCACCGCTCACACAACAATGCGATCGATATGACTCAAGTATAACGATCTCAATGATTCCAACAGAACTCATTCCTCACTGCTTATTAGTAACGACATCATGTACGACCGCTAAGCTAGCTCTATTCCAAATGCATGGGGTTTGTTTACAGAGATGTTATGAACAGCAGCAACTGACTTTATCACTCTTACCACAATTATCTTCCATCAGCAACTTTAGTGAGGGCCATTTAAAGGGTTCCACTGCTGAATGCGGGAGTGCATTCCAAAGCAAGACGCTTTAGGAGGACAGAATGCATAAATTATAGGCTGCTTCAGCGGCTATCCTAACAGGCTGCACTATTCCCGTGTAGGTTATGAACGTACCAGTCGGATCGCTGGCTAAGGCCGGCTCTCCTCCTTCTGTGATGCGGGGGCGCTGCTGCTGCTTCTGCGTCTTGACGGAACGAGCGCTGCTTTTCAGTTCTTGGCTGATGCAGAAGATTCCTTTGAACAGTGTGGTTGGTCAACGATCCTTAACTTAGCACGCGGCAAATCCGCATGGCCCGGCGACTGGTTTAGAATGATGGAACTAGTAAGCCACACGTCTAACCTACTTCTTCCTTGCCATCTCGAGTTCATGAATTAAGCACCTATCACATCTCTCCCCGTACTGTTGACCGTAAGCTGCTTCGCTGCATTGTTCCCACTCCCATCAGATGAGATTCGAGGCCCACTGTCATCAGTTGCTCGAGCGCCACAGAAAAGCTGCGCCTCTAATCAATTCCAATCCATCACCCGAATCTAACAATGCCTGCTCTGTCTAATCCACTGCCGAGACCATGCAGATCATATCCCGTAAACAGAAAAGGGCTGTTCACGATGTATTTGTAGGCGTAAAGGTGCTAGACCGCTGCCGATTCAGTGAGGCGGACAGTCTTTCTAGGTGTGCATGCGGCAGTACGCCGGTAGCACAGAAAAAACCTGTACAATAGAAATCACTCCTTGTCTGACCACAGATTCGCAGTCGCAGCTGCTCTTCCAACTATCGTCATGACCCCTGAAAAGAACAGGTCGTCTGGCGGGGCATTATCAGATTTCAACCAGCTGTAGCGCGCTCATGATGGCGTGATAAAGACGCCCTGACTGCTCCTCAGTATGCACTGCGTCACACGTCACGCCCTATCGCTTGCAGGGTTTACAACAAGATGGGGAGAGCATATCCTCTCTGTCCATCTGGTTATGATCCCTGCAAGCGATAGGGCGTGTGACGCACTATATATACACGTGAATACTTCGATACCACTTGTAAATCTTCAGATGCGACTTTTCAGAGATCAGTATAAGGTCTCGAGGTTTTTCTTCATAACGGCCTTTCATGGTGAAGAGCTCACAGAATGGTCAAATCGAGCAGCCCTTTTGAACCAGTGGAGAGCTGTCGCCGACAAAGTTAGTCGAGTCTTTTGATATCAACGACGCTTTTCAGTACTCTGACCTGGAAGTGTCAATTTATGAAGACGACGCCAAGTTCTTGGATCTGATCGAGACGATGGTGCCAATCTCGATGCAGTCAGCGCTCTTCACTTTTATTTCAATGTTCGCCGTCGCAGTCCTCTTCATTTCTCATCCGCCCACGCTTTTCGTCGCTACGCTCAGCATTCTCAGCACCAGCATAGGTTTGCCAATTACTAGGAGCTCCAACAGCTACAGCGTAACGATTCGAAGCGACGGAGCGGTGTCAGGAGGCGTGGAATGAGCCCACCTCCGGCAATTTTTTCTACCAATAACTGCCGACCTAAACCGGTCCCTAATGGTAGGAAAAGCAGCCGCAAATGGCTCACTCTTCTCCTGCTGACACCACCACCTCGCTTCGCGTCGTTATATGCTACGCTTAGTAGATCTCTCAGTCTACCATCCTTACTTCCAGGAGTGTTTCGGCATCATGTCATTGTTGGGAGCTGACCTCGACCCTATCATGATGTCGGCTACGGTAATGAGTATCGGTTTTTCTGTCGATATCCCATCACACGTTAGCTACCATTATTATCAAACAGGTACGCTACGATAGTTTCTTTCTGAGTGATTGTGGGCGTGTTTATTATAAACAGACTCATTTCAGGGAAGGAAACAAACTGTGTCAAAACCCGCTTGAAAAAGACTGTCACTGCTGTTGGATTTCCTATCATGGAGGCTTCCCTGTCCACTACTCTTTGTGTACTCAGTCTCTTCTTTGTTCAGTTGCACATGTCAAAGGTAAACCAGTGTTACTTAGGTGGCATTCAGACTTCGCGTCGGCGCGCACCGACGCCCTGTAACGCGCTGTAGCGCGCGTCGACGCGTTACGCTTGCAACAGCGCTCCTATCATAGACGCAACAGCAGCCATAGACGGGAGCCGATCAACGCCAGCTGCTTGTGCTTTGAGAGAGTAAAGGATAGCAGGGAGGCAAGCGCTGCCTTCACGGAACCTGTACACTCCTATTCTTCTCTACTCCCCCAAGGCCCTAGCGGCCATTGCCGATCAATACCAAACTATTGACCAGGCTAACCAAAACAAAACGGCTAACCAAAGCGCGGCATAACCAAAGCGCGGCACAGTGCGTCGACGCGTGAAGTCTGAAGCTGCCTTAGCGCCTCAAACCCTTTCAAAAATCATCATTGTCATTCCAGATATTTGCCCAGTGCATGCTCCTCGTCGTGTTAATCGGAATGATTCATGGCCTCGTTGTCATACCGGTGATCTTCAATTTAATAGCAGCTCTGCCCTTCAGGTACTCATATCGTGTTTCTAGTCGCCGATAATCGCTGACAAAGTGAATCTCTCAACTGAATTCTAGGCATCTCGTCACGTTGAACTGATATCTAAATTATTTGTCTGTGTTCGTAGTTGTGCCTAGATAAGTTTTTTGGACCCAGGTTCAGAACGCTACCTATGTCTTTTTTTCATTTCCATTGAAAAAGTTGAGCATACCGTTCTTAAGCAGAAAGCTGGCTTTTATACGGGTACTGAATGAAGATTTCTGCCTCGATGTACATCGCAAAACATAAGCAGAAGTAAAAATATCAGCCTCTATGATGATAACTGCTGTTTTACGCCGCAGTTCGCGTTCCGAAAGTTATCACAAGAATGCTGAGTTGTGGGCAAAAGTCGTGCCCCAGGCGGGAGTCGAACCCGCACCTCACGCTTTCCGGGCGAGTGCGCTATCCGTTACGCCACCAGGGCCGCTCTGTCAGGATACGCCTTTGGGGGTGGGGGCACGTGATGCAATGTCCACTTCTCATTTGTGAAAAGCTGGAATTCGTGAGCTTCTGCCGCTGGGGAAAACTCCGGAAAATACGACTCACCTCAGTTTCCTTTCGATTTTTGAGGGGATGCTGTAAAAATTTCCTAGCGATCTATCCATCAAAGCAAAGAGCGGTTTATGACAAGTTATGGAACGTTACTTCCCAGTCACAGGGTACGTTGCCAGCGGGTAACGTACCTAGCATCCGTACGAGGGCCGAAACCATGACGTGGTGCTGTGAGTCGACCTTCCCTAGTTAACTCGTATGTAAGACGTCAAGACGGGGAGGCACCTCTTCACAGCTGCTGACCTGTAGCACTTCCCACCATAAAAACTTGTTCTGATTGTCAACTTCGCAAGAGCAGCATCCACTTAAGTAGCTATTTATCTTGCAGTACTACTTCTACAAGAGTAACCCTTACAATATAAAGAGAGATTATATCTGCTGCAAGCAGGTAACGGGAAGGAAAAACGAGTGCGTCAAAGCAAAAAGTAGAAAAGCTAGCGAAGTGAAACATCCTTTAGAGATTGATCTCCTTAGTTCATGCGAAGTATAACATTCTTCAAAAAAAAAAACTTGACTTTATGCACGAGGATTCCCAGAGGGATGCTTCTGGAGATAAATGACAATGTGAAGCTGACGTTAGCAAAGTGACATGCACTAGAGCATGAGGAATGCAGAAGCCGTCCATTCAGAACTTCAACTTGTCGAGGTAAGTGTATGGATTAGGAAAACAACTGAACTATGATGGGCAATGAGAAGAGGAAATTCACACGAAATACTAAGTAGTAAACAACATTAGCAAAAATATTTCAAGAAATACTCCGACCCGCTTACACCTCGAATGGTGTAGATTTCGCAGTGATTATGGGTGAATAAATGAAAACAGGTACAAAAAAAGTCCGGTAAATTCTGTTACCAGCCTTGAATCAAGACCGTCATGAGTGGCGATCCCAATTGTGGACTGGAAAACTGAATTGCCCAATTCTACAACGAAAAATTCAAATTTCTGTAGCAGAGGTTCATCTAAAGAATCTTAATAACCGTCCACTTCAGATCATAACGACTTGGAAGCTAACGTAGTTCGGAGGGCAGCGCAGTGGCATGACTATACCTAGTTCGCGTAACGAGACCGCTCGTGTCATGCTCGGCTGCGCTGTGCTAAGACTGTCTTGATTAGGCATCGTTCAGACCTCACGATGACGCGTGCTGACGCGCTACAACTGCAACAACGCCCCGAAGGGCGGCCGCTCGTTTTGATATGATGGTAGGACTAGTGTAGTCACGGAAATTGCTATCGATCGGCATTGGCCTCAGTGGCTGCATTCGCGTCTATAGCTATGCAGCGCAGTTGCAATTGTTGCGCATCGACGCGCATCATCGCCAAGTATGAACGCCGTCTTAGGAGAGCGCACATAGATGTAGCGCCCCGTGGCCCTTCCGAATTAGATTAGCGAAGAGTCATCATGCACACGTAAAACGATTACCGGAATATTATCGGCGCAGTTCGTCCACGGGGGAGGGGGCATTTTGCACATTCGTTGCTTCACTAGTTCCGATTACAAGTCTCACTCTGGTAAAACCTGTCAACTCGAGAAGAGGCTGTCTAGATGGGTCGACACGTCGATGGGAAGTAGCAAAAGTGCAAAATGCCCCGTCGCCGAACTGCCGCAAATTATCTAATAATTATAGAATGACAAAAAGAAAAGTGCTCGTACAACGAGGATACAGAATACACATGAGACGCCTGCCCTGACGAGATAGCATCTGATCTACATCTAGGAAATTTTCGCTCTCTTTCCATTCAGTATCAAAAATGGTGGATCAGACTGACATGGCCGTTTACATCCTGAAACAAATCGAGTTAGTTCGAAAAAAGCAGACTCCTGCAAAGAAATTCGAACAGTAAACAAAGTAACACTGAACGCACCAACTTCACAAAATATAGAAGTAGCGTGCAGCCCATTGGAAACATTTAAAAAATTTCAATACAAGTACAAGAATCAGAGGCAGAGAGTTCTCACGGAGACCAGCGGTCAAATCACGATGAAAAACTTTGTCAGAAACGTGCACTGTAGATTAATAAAAACAATCGTAAAAGAAAACTAAACTTTTAAGAGGACAAACATACCAGATCTTTGTTGAACGACGAGGATATCGGCTTCGTCTATGGTATTCTCATCATTCATCATCTCAAATTCCATAGCTTCTGCTGTTGCTAAAAAATACAAGATTTCATAAGAAAAATGTCTCAGGATTGCGAAGATCTTATACAATTTCATTTCTTTTTCTCATCAAAACTTTTAGCACAGAAACTTATAAAACGCGACGTT